CCCTCTCTTCACTCTGAGCGTCTCTCTCTCTCTCTCTCTCTCTCTCTCTCTCTCTCTCTCTCTCTCTCTCTCTCTCTCTCTCTCTCTCTCTCTCTGTGTGCGTCCCTGTCTCTCACTCTCTCTCACAACAGAGGAGGATCGCGCCTTTCCGCGTCTCCTTGTGGTGAAGTTGCTGAGTAGACCTTTCGGCGTGCGTGTTGCAGCCTCGCACGTGGTCACTTGTACAAAATTGCCGTAATGAGAAGCATGCTGCCGCGTTTGACAACAAAGTGCAACATGTTTCGAAAAGATTCTCGGTCAGAGGTAGTGAGCAGCTCATCGTCCGGGATGTAGATATGTGAACTTTGTGATCAGAGCACGCGCTGAAACAAACTAAATGAGGAAGTAAAGCGAACGCAGAGAGGAGTCGGAACGGTAAAAGGGGATGTAACCTCAAATCAATCAACCAATCAATCAATGAACTAACCAATCAATCAATCAATCAATCAATCAGTCAATCAATCAATCAATCAAATGCATTAATGTCACTCCCTGTTGTTTTGATGGATCGCCGCCGACCCACCCCTCACCTGCTCCTCCTCCTCCTTTTCCTCCTCTTTCTTTTCCATTCCTCACGGCTTCATCGTCTCGCACCTTCTCTTCCTCCTTCTCGTCTTCGTCCTTCTCGTCTTTGTCCTCCTCGTTACTGCTCTCACTTGTGTGACACGTGGTGCACCCGGGCATTTCTTTTCCTTTTTTTTGGCCGTCTCCTACTTCCCTCTTTCTGGTCGCGTCCTTGGTCTTATCCCGATCCCTGGTTTCCCACCTCTTTCTGCTCCCGCGTCTCCTGATCCCGACCTCCCTCTATCGTGATCCTGGTCCTCGGTCTGGCAGCTCTTTCTCCTCCTGCTTTCCCCAATCCCGACCTCCCTCTATCCCAATCCCTTTTCTTGCTCGTCTTGATGTCCGCTTCGATGCCACTTCCCTTTAACCCGGCCTTGATCCTCCCACCTTCCCCAATCCCGATTTCCCTCTCTTTCTGCTCCCGCCTCTCCAATCTCGACCTCCCTCTACCGCAATCCCACTTCTTGCTCATCTCGATGTCTACTCCGATGCTGCTTCCCACTGACCCGGCGTCGATCCACTTTCCCCTATCCCGATCTCCCTCTATCCTGATCCTGCTCCCCGGGCATCAATCCTCCCGCCTTCCCCGATCCCAATCTCTCCCTATCCCGAACCTGCTTCCCGGTCTGGCACCTCTTTCAGCTCCCGTCTTCCCCGATCCCGATCTCCCTCTATCCCGATCCGGCTCCCCGGGCCTCGATCCTCCCACCTTCCCCGATCCTGATCTCCACTCACCCGGCCTCGATCCACTTTCCCCGATCCCTATATCCCTCTATCCCGATCCTGCTCCCCGGGCCTCGATCCTCCCACCTTCCCCGATCGCGATCTCTCCCTATCTCGAACCTGCTCCCTGGTCTGGCACCTCTTTCAGCTCCCGCCTTCCCCGACCCCGATCTCCCTCTATCCCGATCATGCTTCCCGGGCCTCGATCCTCCCACCTTCCCTGATCCCGATCTCCCCCTATCCCGATCCTGTTCCCGTTGTGTGTGTGTGTGTGTGTGTGTGTGTGTGTGTGTGTGTGTG